ACCGATCCAAGTACCGAACACACGGCACCTCTGAGTTCAGCACACGTTCAGCTCGATGACATCCCACGAACTCCGATCCAGCAGAGCTTCGAGGGAGAGTTCCGTCGGCACGACGGCGTGACGATGATGATGATGTTGTTGCTACCGACGCAGGGCTTCGCCTAAGCACTGGTACGATATGATCGAGGTGGATTATGGTGGAGGGGGGCACCGCACACGGCTTGGAACAATCGACTTGTGTGTTCTAGGGTGCCCCCTCGCCACGTATATAAAGGAGGGAGGGGAGGCCGGCCGGCCTCTCTAGGCGCGCCAAGGGGGGAGCTATCCTCCTCCTAGTAGGAGTAGGATTCCTCCTTTCCTAGTCCTACTAGGAGGGAAAAGGAAGGAGAAGGGGAGGAGAAGGAAAGAGGGGGCGCAGCCCCTCCCCTAGTCCAATTCGGACTAGGCCCATGGGGGCGCGCGGCCAGCCCTCGTGGATTCTCCTCTTTTTCCCTTAAATCCCACTAAGGCCCATATGTACTCCCGTATTCCCATAACTCCCTCGGTACTCCAAAAAAATACCCGGATCACTCAGAACCTTTCCGATGTCCGAATATAGCCTTCCAATATATTGATCTTTACGGCTCGCACATTTCGAGACTCCTCGTCATGTCCCCGATCTCATCCGGGGCTCCGAACAAACTTCGGTCATCAAATCACATAACTCATAATACAAATCGTCACTGAACGTTAAGCGTGCGGACCCTACGGGTTCGAGAACTATGTAGACATGACCGAGACTCATCTCCGGTCAATAACCAATAGCGGAACCTGGATGCTCATATTGGTTCCTACATATTCTACGAAGATCTTTATCGGTCAAACCGCATAACAACATACGTTGTTCCCTTTGTCATCGGTATGTTACTTGCCCGAGATTGGATCGTCGGTATCTCAATACCTAGTTCAACCTCGTTACCGGCAAGTCTCTTTACTCGTTCCGTAATGCATCATCCCGCAACTAACTCATTAGTCACATTGCTTGCAAGGCTTATAGTGATGTGCATTACCGAGAGGGCCCAGAGATACCTCTCTGACAATCAGAGTGACAAATCCTAATCTCGATCTATGCCAACTCAACAAGTACCATCGAAGACACCTGTAGAGCAACTTTATAACCACCCAGTTACGTTGTGACATTTGGTAGCACACAAAGTGTTCCTCCGGTATTCGGGAGTTGCATAATCTCATAGTCAGAGGAACTTGTATAAGTCATGAAGAAAGCAGTAGCAACAAACTAAACGATCACCGTGCTAAGCTAACGGAATGGGTCAAGTCAATCACATCATTCTCTAATGATGTGATCACATTAATCAAATGACAACTCATGTCTATGACTGGGAAACTTAACCATCTTTGATTCAACGAGCTAGTCAAGTAGAGGCATACTAGTGACACTCTGTTTGTCTATGTATTCACACATGTACTAAGTTTCCGGTTAATACAATTCTAGCATGAATAATAAATATTTATCATGATAAGGAAATAAATAATAACTTTATTATTGCCTCTAGGGCATATTTCCTTCAATATTATCTATTTTGGATGTTTTATATGCATTAATATGCTATTTTATACTCCATCCATTCCTTTATATAAGGTGTATAGATTTTTGAGAAAAAATCCGAAATATAAGGTGTATTGCATTGCACCACTCATTTGGATATTTTTTAGGGATTTGATCACATTTCCTTATAAAAGACAAGCTCCTCTATTTTCTCATGTCAATTAGTCACGTGTAATCCCGCCCAAAACTTGTGAAATTTCCCTCCACGTGCGTTCTTTAATTTTCATGCCAAAAACTATACACCCTATATTTAGGAACGGAGGGAGTATTATTTTTGGGACTAACCTATTAACCTAGAGCCCAATGCCAGTTTATGTTTTTTCCTTGTTTTATAACTTCGCGAAAAAGGAATATCAAATGGAGTCCAGACGGAATAAAGCTTTTGCGATTATTTTTCTTGGACCAAAAGACACCCAGGAGACTTGGAGTTCAAGTCAGAAGAGCCACGAGGCGGTGACAAGGGTGGAGGGCGTGCCCTAGCGGGGGCGCCGCCTACCTTGTGGGGCCCCGTGACTCCCCTGACCTAGTTCTTCCTCCTATATATTCACATATATTCCCGAACCTCTAGAAGCATCCACGAAAACACTTTTCCACCGCCGCAACCTTCTGTTTCCGTGAGATCCCATCTTGGAGCCTTTTCTGGCATCCTGCTGGAGGGGGATTCGATCACGGAGGGCATCTATATCAACTCTATTGCCCTTCCGATGAAGCGTGATGGCTTCTTCTCTCTCTTTGATTCTCAATACCATGTTCTCCTCGATGTTCTTGGAGATCTATCCGATGTAATCTTCTTTTGCAGTGTGATTGTCGAGATCCGATAAATTGTGGATTTATGATCAGATTATCTATGAATATTATTTGGATCTTCTCTGAATTTTTATATGCATGATTTGATATCTTTGTAATTCTCTTCGAACTATTGGTTTAGTTTGGCCAACTAGATTGGTTTTTCTTGCAATGGATGAAGTGCTTAGCTTTAGGTTCAACTGTGCGGTGTCCTCACCCAGTGACAAAGTAGCGGTAGCGAGGTACGTATTGTATTGTTTCCATCGAGGATAAAAAGATGGGGTTTACATCATATTGCTTGAGTTTATTCCTCTACATCATGTCATCTTACTTAAAGCGTTACTTTGTTTTTTATGAACTTAATACTCTAGATGCAGGCTGGAGTCGGCCGATGTGTGCAGTAATAGTAGTAGATGCATGCAGGAGTCGGTCTACTTGACATGGACGTGATGCCTATATTATATAACCATTTCCTTGGATATTGTTATAACTTTGCGCTTTTCTATCAATTGCTCGACAGTAATTTGTTCACCCACCGTATTATTTGCCCTCAAGCGAGAAGCCTCTAGAGAAACCTATGACCCCCGGGTCTATTTTTCATCGTATTAGTTTCCGATCTACTATTTTGAAACCTTTTATTTTCAGATCTATAAACCAAAAATCCAAAAATATTTAGTTATCTTTTGTTTAGTTTATTTATGTCTATCAGATCTCACCTTTGCAAGTGACCGTGAAGGGAGACAACCCCTTTATCGCGTTGGGTGCGAGTGTTTGATTGTTTGTGAATGTATTGGTGGTTTGTGCGTTCTTCTCCTACTGGATTGATACCTTGGTTCTTAACTGAGGAAAATACTTATCTCTACTTTGCTGCATCACCCTTTCCTCTTCAAGGGAAAAACCAACTCATGCTCAAGAAGTAGCACCACTAATCCTATATACTTTTTTAAATAATTGATCCCATTATCCATATTTCTCTTAAATTCATAACATGCTAAAATGGCAACTTAACATGTAACGATGCATAGGAAAATAAACACCTCAACAATCAATCATGTGTGAGAAAAAGCCCATTGTTTTATGCTTGCATGTTCATTTGCCCATATACTTGCATACTATTTCATTTGTAGGTATTTAAAACATTGAAGGCATTCAAGGCCCAACATGATGGCAAGTCCTTCAACCTCATCTATTGTTGGATGGTCATCAACAGGGACGAGAAGTTCAAGATGCAATATGCAGTCATCAAGGTGCGCGGAGGGGAGGAAGCCGTCGAGGACCTTGGTGAGGACGAGAAGCCACGGCCCCGGGAGAATACCAACTCCAAGAAAGAGGACAAGTGTGATGCGGCGTCGATTGCCTTGCATGCCACTCCGGAAGGCATGATGACCAAGAAGGACACAAGGAAGGAGAAGCGCTAGCAAGACAATGAAGAGCAAATTAAGGTCTTCATGGAGATTCAAAGAAGGAGGCTTGAGCTTGATGCGGAGAAGCAAGCGAAGAAGCTCGAGATGTAGGCGGAGAAGCAAAGGAAGATACTCGAGATCGAGGCTACCGATGCAAAGACCAAGGCAAAAGAAGTGACGCTCGCTTGCATGACGGCGGGGATGGAGATCATGAAGGTGGACTTGAGCAAGGTGTCCCCAAGATAGAGGCATTGGTTCGAGAAGGTGTGGACCGACATGCTCTAAGTTCGATGACAAGTGATCTATGGCGGAGAGCGCCATCCTTTTTTGTATGCCGGCAAGTGTGTCGGCATGGCCATGGCTGAGATGACTTAGTTGAACTCTCGCCCCTATTTTGTGTGCTGGCATGTGTGCCGATCGCTGGCAAGTGCGTCAACATGAACTGTGTGATTTTTTTTTTGAAGGCTCGCATGTCGCCGGCATGAACACTGGGCGATGGCAATGACTGTTGGCATGATCTATGACCACGCGCCTTTGTAAAATTCATATGGTTTTCTGCATGAATGTGAATTGGGTCGGTCGGTTGGGCGCACGACCGACCCAAACGCAAAAGGGGATGGACGATGAGCGGACATCCGATCTAAACGGACAAAAACCAAATAAAGCGTGTGTCCGTTTGGATAGTTGGAGGAGTTGCTCTACGTTCCAAATGGAGGCAAAATTTCATGTGCGAACAGTGTTCCACCCGTACTTTCCCTGTAAACGAACAGCGGACGGACGGACGGAAAGGCAGCGCACGTTTTATGCCCGGCAAGTTGCCTTGTCGCAGCTGTAGGTGCACTGGACGTCCAGCAGTGAGCGTCACGTGAGCCACGCGGATCTCGATGCACTCGTCCAGTCAAGTAGCCAGCCAGTGGCATTTTGTCGAATCGAGTAGCCAGTGGCCACGCCCTTGTGCCTCGGCATGATGCTTCCGGGCATTGGGATGCACGTCCCGTGTCCGATCCCCCACCGCGTCTCTCTCTCTCGCTATATAACGTGGCGTATGGTTAAGCGTCTCCACCCAGCGTCGTCTCGTGCTGTGGCTGGCTAACCACCCCGTGGTAGTCAGTTCGGTGCTTGGCTGCTTGCTCCCGTAGATCACTCTCTCACTCACTCAGGGTGCAGGAGCCGGCTCTGCTACTTGGTAGGCGGACCAAGGTGGCATGGCTTCTCCGGCGGCCGTCCGCGGGGGTCGTCTAGCCGACCCACTGCTGGCCGCCGACGTCGTCGTCGGCGCCAAGGACAGGTACTGGGTGCCCGCCGACGAGAGAGAGATCCTGGCGTCGCAGAAGAGCGGCGCCGGCGAGGACGGCCGGGTACCGCTGCTCTACCGCACGTTCATGGTCAACGGCTTCCTCATCAACCTTTACAGGTGGGAGCATCGTCTCGGTTCAGTTCCTTCTTCCCCCTTGTTTCGCGCCATAGATGTATGTTCCCGAAGGGCAGTGCCACTTGATCGAACTCTTACGTTTCATAGGTAGTCTAAATCTAAGCAATGTACTAGTACTACAGTAGTTTGTAGTACTAGTATTTCTTGACAGACTACTCATGAAGGGGCCCCGCCCACGGCTCCATTTTATATGAACGAACGGAACCAGATGATACCTGAATATAAATGTACTGCCTGAATTTTGATGCACACTGACGGAGTGTTAGTTAATTGATTCCAAGGCAGTAAGTACAATCTTAAGAAACAAACAGAACGTGCTGTGATCTGGAGGCACCCAAAGTGCAGTGAGAGGACAGCGTCAAAGTAGGCAAAAGCTGCAAACGATCCAAATGGTATTGCATTGCTTATTACTGTGCGGCACGGGCGTGCCATTGGATATTTTGGATAACAAAGAAAGCAAAAGGTTGGCAAAAAAAAAGCAAAAGGAGATGCACCGACGCCAGTACACGCTCAAGCTATAAGGGACGTGACCTTTGTGACTTGTAGCCGGATCCGGACGGGGGCACAGTAAAAGTTATCCGGACGGGAGTACCTTTTTGTCGGTAAAATAGTGCTAAAATTAACCTGTTCGCTGAGGGCCAGCTAGTTAGTTCCATACTGATAGGCGAAATTCGCTTATTTAGTTTTATATGTTTATTAGAATTTGACGCTCAAAAAAAATGCATTGTTAGCATGCGGCGGAATGTCTAACCGCTGAGATTGCGGATCTCAACGCTCAGATCCTGATCCGCCCAAGAAATTTTAAAAACGATTAAGGCAGAAATCTAGAATCTACACTGTGCAAATATTCACTCTGCACATGCATTCGCAGGATCTTAATTTGTAGCCAGTGCTCAAAATAGTAAGTGTAGTATTTTAATCCAAGAGCACGTGAGCTCAACTACAATTATTACAGTGGAGATCATATAACTACGAAAGCATGCGACTTGGCAAACTTTGTTCTATTATAGTTAGAGATTCTATAACCTTGTCGTTCTGTACTACCAAGACTTTAACCTATTTCCATCAGCACATCATTTCATTTGTCCAAACGTAACCGCACTGCAGGTTATTGACTCTGGTGAGAGTGATAGTGGTGATTCTATTCTTCACGTGGCGCATGAGGCACCGGGACTCGGACGCGATGTGGCTGTGGTGGATCTCGGTCGTCGGCGACCTCTGGTTCGGACTCACCTGGCTGCTCAACCAGATCACCAAGCTCAAGCCCAGGAAATGCGTCCCAAGCATCTCCGTCCTCAGAGACCAGCTCGACCAGCCCGACGGCGGCTCCGACCTCCCCCTCCTGGACGTGTTCATCAACACCGTCGACCCGGTGGACGAGCCGATGCTCTACACCATGAACTCCATCCTCTCCATCCTGGCCACCGACTACCCCGTCGACAAGTACGCCACCTACTTCTCCGACGACGGCGGGTCGCTGGTGCACTACGAGGGCCTGCAGCTGGCGGCGGAGTTCGCCGCGTCCTGGGTCCCCTTCTGCCGGAAGCACTGCGTCGAGCCCCGGGCCCCGGAGAGCTACTTCTGGGCCAAGATGCGCGGGGAGTACGCCGGCAGCGCGCCCAAGGAGTTCCTTGACGACCATCGGCGGATGCGCGCGGCGTATGAGGAGTTCAAGGCGAGGCTGGACGGGCTTTCTGCCGCCATCGAGCAGCGGTCGGAGGCGTGCAACCGTGCCAACGGGAAAGACAAAGAGGAGTGTGCAAATGCTACTTGGATGGCTGATGGGTGCACGCAATGGCAGGGGACGTGGATCAAACCGGCAAAGGGCCACAGGAAAGGACACCACCCTGCAATTCTTCAGGTACAAATTAAAATAAACCAGGTTTTTATTTCATGCGATTTTTTCATACAAAACTGTTGCTAACATGTGATGATGGTTCAAGGTAATGCTGGATCAACCGAGCAAGGATCCTGAGCTGGGCATGGCGGCGAGCTCCGACCACCCTCTGGACTTCAGCGCCGTGGACGCGCGCCTCCCGATGCTGGTCTACATCGCCCGGGAGAAGCGGCCGGGCTACGACCACCAGAAGAAGGCGGGCGCCATGAACGTGCAGCTGCGCGTCTCCGCGCTGCTCTCCAACGCGCCCTTCATCATCAACTTCGACGGCGACCACTACGTCAACAACTCGCAGGCCTTCCGCGCCGCCATGTGCTTCATGCTCGACCCGCGCGACGGCGCCGACACGGCCTTCGTCCAGTTCCCGCAGCGCTTCGACGACGTCGACCCCACCGACCGCTACTGCAACCACAACCGCATGTTCTTCGACGCCACCCTCCTCGGCCTCAACGGCATCCAGGGCCCCTCCTTCGTCGGCACTGGCTGCATGTTTCGCCGTGTCGCCCTCTACAGCGCTGACCCTCCCCGGTGGCGCCCCGACGACGCCAAGGAGGCCAAGGCCTCGCACTACAGGCCCAACATGTTTGGCAAGTCCACGTCCTTCATCAACTCCATGCCGGCGGCCGCCAACCAAGAACGGTCCGTCCCGTCACCGCCGACGGTTGGAGAGGTGGAGCTCGCCGACACGATGACGTGCGCCTACGAGGACGGCACCGAGTGGGGCAACGACGTCGGGTGGGTGTACAACATCGCGACGGAGGACGTGGTGACCGGCTTCCGGCTGCACCGCACGGGGTGGCGCTCCACGTACTGCGCCATGGAGCCCGACGCGTTCCGCGGCACGGCGCCCATCAACCTGACGGAGCGGCTCTACCAGATCCTGCGCTGGTCGGGGGGATCCCTCGAGATGTTCTTCTCCCGCTTCTGCCCGCTCCTGGCCGGCCGGCGGCTCCACCCCATGCAGCGCGTCGCCTACATCAACATGACCACCTACCCGGTCTCCACCTTCTTCATCCTCATGTACTACTTCTACCCGGTGATGTGGCTCTTCCAGGGGGAGTTCTACATCCAGAGGCCGTTCCAGACGTTCACGCTGTTCGTCGTCGTCATCATCGCCACGGTGGAGCTCATCGGCATGGTGGAGATCAGGTGGGCCGGCCTCACGCTGCTCGACTGGGTCCGCAACGAGCAGTTCTACATCATCGGCACCACCGGCGTGTACCCGATGGCCATGCTGCACATCCTCCTCAGGTCCTTCGGCATCAAGGGGGTGTCCTTCAAGCTGACGGCCAAGAAGCTCACGAGCGGCGCCAGGGAGAGGCTCGCGGAGCTCTACGACGTGCAGTGGGTGCCGTTGCTGGTGCCCACGGTGGTGGTGATGGCCGTGAACGTGGCCGCCATCGGCGCGGCGGCGGGCAAGGCGATCGCTGGGCGGTGGTCGGCCGCGCAGGTCGCCGGGGCGGCGAGCGGGCTCGTGTTCAACGTGTGGATGCTGCTGCTGCTCTACCCGTTCGCGCTCGGGATAATGGGGCGCTGGAGCAAGAGGCCATACATCCTGTTCGTTGTGCTGGTGACCGCGGTCGCTGCCACCGCGTCCGTGTACGTCGCGCTCGCCGGCTCCCTACCGTACTTGCATTCGAGGATAAAGCTACTTTAAATTTTGTACTCCTAAGTAATGCTGCAAAGCCTGTAAGAGCTGTGAGTCAAAACACCCATAGTTTAAATTGCAGCATGTAATAAAGTTTACCTTAATGGTTGTGTTCGTAGCATGGTACGGTAGGCATGCAATCTTTTCTTTTGGCAGCGAAATATTGTGAGCTGTATTCCACACACACAACCCAGCGTGGCTGGTTAAAAAAAATTTGAGGTGTTTTGTGCCGCTGAACGTGTTTCAAGGTCAAGCCGGTTTTGGTATGGGAGCGGCGAGCGGCGTGCCGATGGCTTGTTCTGACGACGGTAGTAGTCGTTCGGTGGTCTCGGCATTTTTATGTAATTTTTATTTTGTTTGAGGTGCTTTGTAATTTCGATGAACTTCGATAATAGACTAGATCATTTTTGTAAAAAATAAAAACTGAGAGCAGTGTCCAACCAGCAGTCTGTGACGTCCATTGTGCTAGCATGGTTCCCACATAGATGAGCCAAAAAATTTGCTGGCCATTTTACATGTTAAATAACCACTAGTGTGCACGTAGGTCATATGCAAACGATTTAAACCTATTCTTGCTGACAAAGCTTTGAACCGTCGCTTTTTGAAGGTGTGCGAAAGCGGTGGTTCATCGCACCTAAAAAGTACAAGTAAGTACTACTAGGCATTAAGGTGTGCGAAAGGAATGGTCCATCGCATCTAAAAAACACAAAAAAAATACTATGCATCAAGTTGTGTGAAAAGGATGGTCCATCGCACCTAAAAAAACACACAGAAGTACTATGCATCAATTAAGAAAATAAGACCTACCAGGACTAGCCTTTGATGGCATATTTTCATAGGAGAAGTAACCTGAGCACCCGTCGAGCCCAAGTCTCAAACCTGGGCGGCAGCATGCGCACCCCGCGGCGCTTGCCAAGAGAGTGATGCTCTGTTCTCATAATATGCATCAATAAATGAAGAATGAACAAGTAAAATGCATCTCAACATTATATTAAGAGCAAGTACAATAAGATAACATAAGCAAGCTATAAAGATTAGAATATTATATCTTTCTTAATTGAAGGAGAGAGAAGAGGAGAGTGAAGAGAAGCGGGCTTTTGGTTAGTAGCCGGCTCTAACACGAGTCCTAAAACATATTGTAAGATTGTAAAGTAGGCTAAGTAGTAATAAAGTAGTATATATATATATATAACTTATTATTATACATGCCCACTATAAGATTAACTCTAGATAACATAACAACTCTTCATAGCCGATTATTGGTTGTATTATTAACCATGCTTTAAGTCGCTCTCCGCTCTACATTTTCTAACCGAATAACCAACAGTATAATAATCGGTAGTATACAATGGAACTAAGGCTGTCTACATTCACAGTTTCAGTGTCCAAAGATGGGACCGGCTAGGGACCATGTGACCGAATTTCCGATTTCGGTCAGTCACTTTTTATTCTTTACAATCAGCTAACTACTCTACTCGCTCGGGATTAAAAGACCAGTTGCCAGTCAAGTCGAGGCCACTACTAAACGCATGCATGCGACTGGGAATAAAGGTGAGTAGTGCATGCATGCAAGCTAGCTAGTGTTGGTTGTGTTTGACGTAAGAAACACGAGCCCTGCTCCAGTGCTCCCCCTAACCTAATTTCAGAGAGGTATTTTTGTCCCTGTGAATTTATTTTTTTCCTGGCCCGCCGCAGCCCAGATCCAAGCCCTGTTTAGTCGTGTATAACCCAAAACGTATACATACAGTACCCTGGTCTAAAAAAAACATCACACGACCCCACGTCCACGTAAGACCTGCCGAATCCAATCATTCACGCGAGCAGCTCCATCAATCTCGCGAGCATTGACGCAGCTCCATAAGTCACGTAATAGATCTCCAGCGGCGGCTATCTCGTCGCCGGCGATCTCGTCGGACAGCGGGCGCGACAACGTCGTGAATTTCCAACGAGCGCGCACAGGTACCGCATCCCGCATACCCTCTAGTCTCGCTCATGGCAACATCGAACGAACTGTCGCCGCCAGTGGTAGTGGTTAACCTAGCGGGGCGGGTAACCTAGCTACCCGACGACGCATGCGATCGTGGATCTTGTTCCGGTAGTGCTGCTCCTCGTGATCTGGGTTCATGTAGCGTCGGTTGCCGTTGGCTGTGCGCACCAGCGGTATCGTTATTTGATGTGGCGGCTAACCTAGGTATCCGGCGGCAGAGGTAATCACAGATCAAGCTAGGTTTGGAGATCGTGCAGTTCCTCGCGATTGAAAGTGATCACGACGGGTGCCGTGGCCATCTTCCTTACTAATTTGGGCAGATCTGAACGGCCTCGGTTGCGGTTGTTTACATAACATCCGTGATCGTGTGCTATGTGTTTTATATTTCATCATTGATAATGTTTGCACATGTGATGATACATAATATTGGTTGTAGGAAATGGCGGACGAGGAGTTAACTAATATCATGGTAGACATGGAGTTTGGAGAACTGATGAAAGACTGGATAGAAGATTGGTCAGATGATGAAAATTTAGATCGTGAAGATCGGTCAGACAATGGGAACGAATGGGACGATCTTAATGTGAGTGGCATTATCATGTTGTAATTTTTTGGTGGCATCCGACAACATTAAATCTTTGTGTTGAAAATTTATAGATCGATGAGCTTGATGATGATCAGGAAAACAACTCGGAGCTCTCGAATGAAGATTACATTAGTCAGGTACGTAAGTGAAAAATTTTGTTGGCATGCAAATTGAATTTCTTCTGGAATATTATATGATAAGTAATTATTTATTTGTGTTGTATTTTTCAGTTCATTTCCGAATGTCATAATGCGTACGACTATTACGGTGAATCCGACGCGGAGACAGACCTTAACGACGCATCATTAGATGCACCTGGTTCTGGGGAGTTCGAGTCGTCGGTCATCATGAGTGAGGTATGTGTGTAATCAATGTTCTATGGAAGTAAGTAATGTTAAACCTTAGAAATCTGTTTTCATGGCTGTGGGTTGATTGTGTAGGTGACACAAGATGATGGGGCAAAGAATGTCCAAGATACTGCCAGTGCAGATGATAAGAGGGATATGTTCATGCAGATAATGGAAATGACCTTTACGTCTCACGATGCTGCGTATGATTTCTACAACAGCTATTCTAGAGATAATGGTTTCAGCATTAGAAAGAATAAGGTCAGGTATAGCAAAACAGAGTCACGTCATATGCGTTATAGGCGGTTTGTTTGTTCAAGACAAGGGAAACGTGACAGCAAGTTGCTAACCGAGGAAGGACACAGCCGTAGGCTCAGAGCCGAGACACGCTGCTTTTGCGAAGCGCACCTGACCGTCAAGCTTGACCAAAAGCGTGGGGTTTGGTATGTTGAAAGTTTTGAGGACAAGCATAGCCATATGTTGGCAGTACCGGACGAGGTACCTTTTCTTTGGTCCCACAGAAAAATCAAAGAGTACCAGAAGCATGAGATAATGTCCATGGGAGCTGTAGGGATTAGAATTCATGACATGATGGATTACTTCATCAGCAAACATGTATGGTACGGCGGTGTTGGTTTTACCAGGCGTGAAATATACAACCTTTGCGCCAAGGAGAAGAGGAAGCTGCTTTCAAAAGGTGATGTTGCCACAGCCATAGGCATCATGGCCAGTAGGAAACAAAGGGATCCTAGCTTCTTTTTTGAGTACAGGATAGATAAGGAAGGACATTTGAATAGGATGTTCTGGTGCGACTCCCAGTCTCGTCATGACTATGAGGACTTCGGCGACGTGCTTGTATTTGACAACACGTACAAGATGAACCGCTATGGTATGCCATTCATACCTTTTGTTGGTTTTAACAATCACCGGAAGACCACTGTTTTTGGTTGTGCCATAGTTTCGGACGAGACCGAGGAGACATACGTGTGGCTTCTGCAGACTTTTTTGAGGTCCATGTGTCAAAAGCTGTCTAAGAGTGTTATCATAGACGCCGACGCTGCGATGATCAAGGCAATTCGTGAAGTCTTGCCAGACGTGTGGCACCGTATATGTACATGGCACATAGAGAAAAATATGAATATTCACCTCAGTCACAAGTCCTTGAAGGAGTTCCGAACTCTTCTGTACTACATCACGTCCACGACAACGTTTGAGGAGAGATGGCACGCATTTTCCAAAAGATGGCAGTCAGAAAAAACTGTAACATGGTTGAGGCGGATGTATAAGAAGAGGAGACTGTGGGCCGCGACATATCTAACTGAGGGGTTTTGGCTTGGCATGAAAAGAAACCAGCGGAGTGAAAGCCTGAACTCATGCCTTCACCTCCACCTAGACGGTGAAATGACCCTGGTGGATATGATTTTGCACTATGAGAACGACGTTGTGCGTATCCGTGAAAACGAGGCGCGAGATGACTGCACGGCCTCACAGAGTTTACCGGTGCCAGTTACTAGCTCGACGGAACTTGAGATAGCTGCTTCTCACGTCTTCACTCCAGCAAACTTCTATATGTTGCAAGATGATCTTAGAAAAATTGACGGCATGGAGATTGTAGAAATTAAGCTGGGAGACGGATCACAGCAGTACATCGTGGCCTGGAAGAATAACCGGAAGCGCCATTTTTGGGTGGAGTATACACCAGTAAATTCCGCAGAAACTATAAGGTGCAGCTGCAGAAGAATGATTCGAAAGGGTCTACCTTGCAAGCACATATTCCATATACTGAAGCACTTGAACATATCTGAAATACCAAAGTGTTTAGTTCTTATTCGGTTCACAAAAGAAGCAAGGTTGGGACTGCCCGCGAGGCGCACAAGCGATCTATTGGGATTTGGTTGGACTGGGGCCGGGGAAAGAATGAAATATAGCCAGGTCAGTGTGTTAGCGTCTGAAGCTATGCATGCGGCATGCAAACACCCTACTTTGTGGGATCAGTTACAGGAGAGTTTGAAGGCTGTGATAGCTAAGAGTCATGAGTATGATCTGCTACAGAAAAATTTGTTGAAGCAAACAAATGACATCAGTAAGT